GTTTAACAGAAAACGAGATCGAATTATTTATTATTGTTGTTGTTAGGTGCCATCGAGTTGAGACTGTATTACTGTATATCAAATTATGTTGTTATTTCTGTATCAGCATATTAACTATACTAGACTTGGTGGTGATTGTTTTGTGAAATCGAGTCAGTTTTGACTGTTAGCAATCCTGTATAGGGTTTTGTTGTTGTTGTTAAGTACCGTCAAGTCGATTCTGACCCATAGTGACCCTGTATAAGGTTTCCAAGGAGCAGCTGGTGAGCTTGAACCGCCAACCTTGCAGTTCAAATGTCTTTGCAGTCTGGTGCATTAACCCACAGTACCATACCAGGACTACAAGGCTGTAAATCTTTACAAGAGCAGAAGGCCCCATTTTCTGCCATGTAGTGAATGGTAGATTCAAACTGCTGATCTTGTGGTTAGCAACCCATCTCATAACACACTAGGCTACCAGAGCTCCTTATTTTTACTTCCCTGCCCCCCTCCCACTTTGCTGTCTAGAGTGTCAAGTTAACTCCAATCCCTAGCAATCCTATAGGGTAGAGTAGAACTGCCCACAGAATTTTCAAGACCGTGATTTTTATGAAAAGGAACCTGTTGGTGCTGTGAGTTAAGCTTTGTGCCATTAACCACAAGATTAATGGTTCAAAACCACCAGCTGAAGTAAGGGAGGGAGATGGGGACTGCCTGTTCCCATAAAAATTGATAGTCTTGAAACCCTATGTAAGGTTGCTGTGGGTTAGCATCATCATGGCAGTGGGTTAATTTTCACGGAAGCTGACTGCCACATCTTGTTGTTTCATAGCAACTGGTGGGTCAAACCTTTTGGTTAGCAGCAAGCACTTAACCACTGCACAACCAGGGCTTCTTGAAAAAGAAAAAGACAGCAAATCCACTTCATAGATAACGTGCTTTTAGCACATTGAAGGTTTTTGGCAACCCAGCCTTGAGCAAGTCTGTTGGCATCATCTCTCTTACTGCATGTGCTCACTTCGTGTCTTTGAGGCACATTGTAGTAATCCTGAAAATATCTGAAACTTTTCACAATGCTCTTGCCCAATTAATAGATTACCCCAAACTAAAAACAAACTCACTGTCATCGAGTTGATTCCGACTCCTAGTTTCTAAGACTGTAAATCTTCATGGGAGCAGACAACCCCATCTTTCTCTCCAGGAGCAGCAGCTAATCCACAGAATGACCAGGGCTCCTTAGATGTTTGTATTACTAAGACTTATATATTAGGAGACTCTTTTGTTCTTCCAGCCTTGGCAAAATTCTCCTGGCTCACAGTGGTTTGTTTCCATTACAAAAGTCCATGTGAATATATGAACTTTAGGTTAGCATATTATGCTGCAAATTTTTCCTTAGAACATGAATGCTTTAAAGTAAGATTCCCCCATGGCTTCTACAATAATGTGAATTTCAGGATAGAAGCATGCAGTAAGAACTTTTTCTTAATGCTGTTTCTCAGGAGATTTTCATAGGACTTAAGAGACCTATGCTGCCTTGTGTGGGGCCATGGCATTTTCTAATAACACACACTTTCAGCCAATGTCCTCCTCAATCATTTGAGTATATCCTGAGAAACAACAAAACCATCTGTACTGCTAATGCTGTAAAAAGGATGACATCAATGTTAACATATAAGAAATGTAGGGAAGTGCCATTCCTGGGCTTGTTTAGAAGAGGAGACAGTAAATGGTTCCCTTTTATGACTGTAGCAAATCATTAAATCAAACCCTGTCTCTCACTTTGAGCAAATCAACAACTCATTCACTGACATAAATTAGATCTATGTTTACCCAAAATATTGAATTCTCAGGTCATTCTTTTTATAGATAAAATTCTTATTGCTTTAAACTAACTCATCTTTTTATTCTCAAAAACAAGGTATTCTCTGTGCTCCACCCCCCAGTCCCAAGTTTCAACGATGTCTACTAGCAGCAATTTGAATAGCTTTTAAACAAAGTAGGCTGGGCTGCAAGCATAACAAGGACACTTCTAAAGTAAACCTTCCTTGGTTAATAGCTGTCACCTGTCAATGGGTTACAGGTAATTAAATTTAAAGAAAGATTTATGACTCAAAGAAAGAGATAAAATCCTTAGACCTAAAAAATCTTAAATTGATGCAGTTACTGTTCCCTCTGGTATCTGAATGAATGCAGTTGAAATTATTTACCCAGATGTAATCATACTTTTAGTTTCATTTCCATATAGATTAGGAAAAGAAGCAGACAAATAAAAAGAATATTTTCTAGAAACACCTGAACTAAACAAACGATGGTAGAAAGAAGATGGGGGCAGTGGACATTCAAGATGCATTGATTAGTGTGGGTTTTCACAGCAAGAAACAGAAACTTTGATTCAAGATGCCTTAAAAAATTAGCAAGTTTTTTTTTTTTAAACATCACATAGCAGAAGCAGTCCAATGATGGAGAATTTCCAGGATTCGTTTAGCATCTTCTCTCATAATTTTGCTGCTCATATGTTTCAGAAGTATTTTTTCTAGTTTCTTGAAAAAAAATATTATGAATTGGGTGAAGGTTTATAGAGCAGATCAGTTTTTCATTCAACAGCTCATACACATTTTGTTTAATCTCATTGAATGCAATCCCCAGAATGGAATATCACTTAGTCCACAGGTTTCTTCTATAATAAAAAATATCCAATTCTTTAATGCTGTTGTCCTGGTATGCCTCTCTAAGATAGGCACTGGACTGCTGATCACAAAGTCAACAGTTAAAACCCACTAGCCTCTCCTTGGGAGCCCTCTACAGGGTTACTATGAGTTCGAACTGACTCGATGGCCAGCATAACACAAACTATTATGCATTAGTAATTTTATAAATTAGTCCATAAATGTAAAATAGAAAAGGAAACATCCTAAAAATGTTCCTAGTTGGCCTAGGTACATATGTTTCTCTTATTAAATTATCAAATTTAACAACTGTGCTAATCTCATAGTCAGCAGTTCCAAACTACCAGCTGTTTCGCAGTACAAAGATGAGGCTGCTCCCATAAAGATTTACAGTCTCAGAAACCTTGTACAGTGTAGCTATGAGTCAGAACCAACTCCACAACACATAACAACAACAACAACAATGCAAACAACAACAATAATACTTTGGATGTATTGAGAAATTCTCTGCCACTCTTTTCAAATTGTTACATGTATTATTATGAATGATTTTAATAGGAATTTTCAGTAGAAGCTATCATTCTTGTTGCCTTTTATAAGTGAGGACATTGAAGCATAGAGATCCAAAGTAACTTGTTCAATGTTACAAGAAGGTTGGCACCTGAGCCTGAATTCATAAATCCTACCCAATTTTTTTTTTCTATCTTGGTGAAAAATTTTGCTAGATTAATTTGTGCAGTGGCACTGTAGAATAAGCACTGGACTGTGAACCACAAAGTCAGGGTTCTAGTCCATCTGCCACCCCATTGGAAACAGATGAGGCTTTCTGCTCCCACAAAGATTGATAGCCTCAGAAACCTTAGAAAGGGTCCCTGTGAATCGGTACCGACTCAGTAGCACTTAACAATAACAAACAACAACAACACTATCAAACATTGTTCAGATTACTGGATAAAAGCACCTAGAAGAGCTTATGACAGGCATTCTCAACTGGTGTGCCCAGAAAACAAATCAAAATTGTGACTTTTCTTTCTTCTAATATGGTATGTGGACTTCTGACATGGCGCTGTGGGATAAGTGCAGGACAGCAAGGTTGGTTTGAGCCACAAGGTCGGCAGTTCAAACTCACCAGTCCTTCCCCAGAAATCCTATACTGAGCCGTTATGTGTCGGAACCAACTCAACAACACTAACAACAACAACAAAAATATGGTATATGACCCAAGTGTCCACAGAATGCTGTTCATGGCTTCCTATAAACATTCGTATAATTTTCAATTTTGGTTTAAGTCAAACCTCAGCTCCACCAGAAATTCTACAAGTAATTATAATTCAATTCCTAAAAATGTGTCATTGGGTCAGTACTGAATCAGTAATCCTGTAAACGGACTCTTTCATCTTTCAACACTCCTTTAAGATCATAATCAAAAGGGAAACCACTAGAATGGAAAAGTCTTAAAATTTTTAAAAGAGCATTTTGACTGGGAAGAAAATTGGATCTGTCATAATGGTTATGAATATTTTTTTTATTGTCATGATTCATTTATTGTCTTCTATGGTCAGCTACCCAGGTACATATTCAATATAAAAGAAACTAATGAACAATTCATTCAATATTGAGGGGTGAAAATCTAGAAAACCTGGGTATTTCCATTTGTTACAGGTGTAGATTTGATGAAAAAAGGTGACTAATTTTTAAGTAATTTATAGAAAAAATATATGAGACAAGTTAGAATTATGTTGTGGAATAAAATAAATTTTTGTAGAAAATATCAGTCCCAAAATGATGATTTGTTGAGTTCGAGAATAAAGCATTAATCGAGGGTTAAGGGAAATGGTGAAGATATTCATGGAGATAGATTGACAGAGTGGTTGAACAGTGAACTTAAACATGGCATCATTTATGAAGATGGCAAAGAGCATTTTGTTCCATTGTATGTAGGGTCGCTGTGCATCTGACTCAACCCCAAAGCTGAAATAACCAAGAGGCTAGGAAGACATTTGTACATTGCTATGACTTTCGCTCACAATTTTTGCTCTTTTTTTCCCCCCTCAATTAACCTTTAATTAGTTTTTGAGTTGATGACATTCAGTAATTAAACTGAATAGAAAATGTTGCAACTGTGAATAATTTTAATATTATAATATGCTTTAGCATTGCATTTATTAATTTATCTCAACAGAGTCAATTAATAGAAGTGTTCACTAATATATTTATTTTAAATTAATTTAGTATTGTACTGGGGGATTTTTCTTGACCTTTTTTGGTAAATATTTCTGCAAGATTTTTCATTAAGAATAATAAAATCGCAGAACTAATATACTTTATTCTCACATGTGCTATTTACTATTTCAGAACTGCGGGAAACAAAGACCTCTGAATATTTCAGCCTATCCCACCACCCTTTAGACTACAGGATATTATTAATGGATGAAGATCAGGACCGGATATATGTGGGCAGCAAAGATCACATTCTTTCCTTGAATATTAACAATATAAGTCAAGAACCTTTGAGTGTAAGTTTATCATTTTTATGAGTGCAGTGTTGATCATGTAGATGTCTTTTTTCTCTAAACATTTCAATTGCAGTGCAAAACAATCTGTATTTCATGAGGCCAGCCATAGGATATGCAGACCACAAGCCAATAAAGAGTCTTAATGGATTGAAAATAATCAGCCCAGTTTTCCTATCTAGTTTCATGGTTTCTACCAAACCAAAATCTGTAACTAAATGAGAAAACGTATTTTGTGTATATATAAGCTAGTTGCTGTCAAGTGAATTCCAACTCATAGTGATCCACCGGTTTCAGAGTAGAACTGTGATCCATAAGATTTTCAATGGCTGATTTTTCAGAAATAGTTCACCAGAACATCCTTCCAAGACAACTCTGGTGGATTCAAACCTCCAACCTTTTGGCAGCCATCCAAGTTAACTGATTGTATCACTCAGTTGTTCTACATATATGTGTGTTTAAAAACAAAACTAAACTAAACTGATTGCCAATTAATGAATTCCAACTCACGACTACCCATGTGTATCAGAATAGGGTTCCATAATTTTCTTTTCCAATGGCTGATTTTTCTAAAGTAGATTGTCAGGACTGTGTTCCAGGGTACCTCTGGATGGGCTCGAACCTCCAAAGTTCCAGTTAGCAGCTAAGCATGTTAACCCTTGGCACCACCCAGGGACTCCATTTATATTAGGTTGTTGTTGTTAAGTGCCGTTGAGTAGATTCTAACCCACAGCAACCCTGTATAGGGTTTCCAAGGAGCAGCTGGTGAGCTTGAACCACCAACCTTGCAGTTCAAATGTCTTTGCAGTCTGATGCATTAGCCCACAGTGCCACACCAGGACTCCTATGTGTATTATATAGACAGGGAAAAACAGTAACATGTAGAACAGTAGAGCACGAAAAAAATGGTCAGGTAAAAGGAAGGCTTGGAAGAAACACAGCAGTTTGAATGCATTGTTAGTTTATAAAGTGTGGCTTCAGTTATCATTCTAATTTACAAGGAAGTAAAATGAGTTTCATTTGAGTAAAGAAATAAAAATAAATTACTTAACAATTTATTACAACAAGAAGACTTTTGCATTTACTGTTTTAACAATGAGCAACAGAGTAACAAAAAATAAACAGTATCAGCTGCTACACTTGACTCAGGTGACAGGGACTTGGGTTATTTTAGCTAGAAGTATCTAGGAATCCATTGTAAATAAATATCTTACTAGTCTGACTATGTAGCTTACCCAAAACCAAGATACCAATATAAATGTAATTTCCTTGTGACATAATCAGTTTGAAGAAGATATGTACTATTGGTCAAAAGGTAGAAATGTGTATTATCTATTACACATTTATATTAATGATGTTATCTTCATATTATACAACTACAAAATAAAATATTTATGGGCTTGAGTTTGTAAAACTAAATAAGAAAGAATTATGTAAATATATGTATTCATAGACATTAAAAAAAATGTGCTAGCAGTAGTAAATGAAGAGCACTAGCTGTCATATGTCTGAGTGAGATTATGTAACCTTTATTTTCCTTTCTGAGCAGGTTTTCTGGCCAGCATCTACAATGAAAGTCGACGAGTGCAAAATGGCTGGCAAAGATCCCACAGTGAGTGTTTAAGAGAAAAAAAAAAAACGAACCCAAAGTTAAATATTCTGTTTATGAGTCAGTGTCTCTTGAGTGCAACCAAGAGGGAGACAAGGGTGATGGTGTTTTAAATCCCTTGCTGGACACATGGTAAAAATGTAAATGCAGAGATTGGAACTCTCAGACCATCTGCAACTTTGGAATTCCTGACTGGGTAAAAATGTTTGTGCCTTGCTTTCATTATTGCACGCTGACACTTTTCATGATGGATTTCAGTAATAACCCCTGCTCCAAGTGGATCCAACCTGCAGAATTCTCAGCAGGCTTATGAAATAATGATAATGCAAATGTCTGGAGCAACTCCCAGATAGCATGTGGGCTTCTCCAATGAAAGATTCTCTGTGAAACAGTAGTGGTTAACCAGCACATTCCAAAGGTATAAATCACCCCTACTGAACATTATCATCGTTAATTACAAATAGCCATAAAAGGAGCAATGAAGGCAGATATAAATATCGGTATTTTGTTAATCATTCAGTTTGTAATACTTCTACAAATTGTGTTTGTTTAGGTGGTGTGCAATATGAAGAGTGAAGGAAGAAATCAATATTGATTTCTACAAATGAGTGGTTGAAACTGACATGCTAAAGTACTCTTGAATATTATAAAATAAATACATACTATCTTGAGTATTCACATGTGTTGTCATGTTTATAATATAAGCACATATGTCCTTTCCCCTTTCTAAATCAAAGCATGAAAAGTAATGGAACATATCTAAGTATAAAATGTCCCACTCCTTCACAAATAATTTGACAAAAGGATTCATCTATTGACTCACTCATTCATTTAATCAACAAATATATACATTTTTTTCAACAAATATTTATTGTACACCTATTATGTGTCTGCAGTCCTGGTGTGGCTCTGTAGGTTAAGGCGCCAGACTGCAAAGCCGTTTGAACTGCAAGGTCGGTGGTTCAAGCTCACCAGCTGCTCCTCCGAAACCCTATTCAGGGTCACCAACTCGACAACACTTCACAACAACAACAATTGTGTGTCCGACATAGTTGTATTAACTGGAGACTTAATTTGTCCAAAAATAGACAATTGTGTCTCTCACTGTCTTTATTATCTTGTTGAGGACGTTAACTTTAATTCAATGAGCTAGAAAATATATGTACCTATAGGAATGAGACTGAAATATAGGGGTTGTATAGAAAAACTTGTAAACATATGTACATACACACATGCTAAAAGCTTAGGTCATAGCATACTCACTTTAATATCACAGTGTTGACCAAACTCTGCAGTTGTGGCAAGCAACACCAACTGCAGGAGGAAAGGCTGTGCATTCAGACTGGTCAGTGAGTGCTTCCAAGATTCTTCAGGTTCACACATACATAGCAAAAGCTTTATTCTTGGGGAAAATGAAAATATGGAAATGAAACTCTCATTTTTATTAACTCTGAACAAGCCCAAGTTTAAGGTTCTGAAAAGATCAGGGTTATGCTAAGGGCCAGGGAGGCCCTGGAATATTCCATCTTCAAGTCTCACTGATGGACTTTGTTGGCAAAAGATATCATCAGGACTGACTTAGGTCTGAATCACACTTTTTCCATTTTACTATTCACCTTAGAGGCAGGGTATTAAAAAAGGGCAGAGGAATATTGTTGTTAAGTGCTGCAGAGTCAGTTCCAACCCATACCGACCCTGTATAGGGTTTCCGAGGAGCTGCTGGTGCGTTTAGACCGCAGACCTTGAAGTTCAAACTGACTTTGCAGTCCAGCTCATTATCCTGCAGCGCCACACCTGGACTCAAGAGGAATATTGAGGGAGTATATGTGCCATTTAAGGGATCTATTAGACCACATCTGCAGGGAAACATATATTAAAATGTGGAAGAAACCTTTAAAATAGTTCATTACCATTTCCTTTAGACAGCTAATCGTAGAATAAAATATAATGTAGCAGAGAAAACTTTTTCTCCCCTGAAACTATTTTTTCAGTAATTGTGCATGAATTGAACTGTTCTTTTTCATTCCTGAATGTAGATTTTTCCCATTGATATGTATCTGATTATGTCTTGCCTTTTACCACAGTAATATCCTGTGGTTATAATTACTGAATTTGATGGTCCTTTGTTCAAAAAGAGTTGCATTTTATATCCATAGAAACTGCCACAGAGAGAATGTGGCACATACCTTGGTACATTCTCTTTCCGAAAATTCCTGTTGACTTTCTGGAGAATTTTGGCCAAGTCATTTGAGGTCTTACTCCCTTTGGCAAAGTAGAAACTCCGTTTCATTTATCATTTACCGTATGATAATGGAGAGTTATGTGATGGAATTTTCACTGTGTGTTTACATTTTCTTACTGTTCTGTCATGTTTTGGTATTGTTTATGGTTGTCTTCAAGATCTGTCAATTACTGCACACAAGGGAAATAGCTAGCAGATAGTTCTGTGCTAGGTATTGTTAGATCTCAGCTGGACAGGTTTTGTGACCCCCCAGTATTGCTGAGTCATGAAGAATAATAATGAAATTACTTCTTTCAAATATATCATCTCTCTGTGCAGGCGAAAAGTACCCAAGAAATCCATTTCACGTGAATAAATTGTTGTTGTTAAATACCATCAAGTCAATTCTGACTCATAGCAACCCTGTATAGGATTTCCAAGGAATGATTGGTAGGTTTCAACTGCCAAATTTGGGGTTAGCAGTACAGCGTCACACTCCTTTTAAGTAATCTCCAGAAAAAAAAAAAAACACTCAGCAATAGAAAAATGATGTGAAAGAGTTATTTAGCATTTCTACATGAGAACTGTGGTAGTGCTGTTTTAACAGAACTGTACTGAATGCATGGCTTTAATAAACAAATTTACTTTCTCCATTTTTTGTTATAAAGTGCCGGGGAGTCAATTCCGACTCATAGCGACCCTGTATAGGGTTTCTGAGGAGTAACTTGTGGGTTTGAACTGCTGACCTTGTGGCTCAAACTGACCTTGCTGTCCAGCACATTATCCTGAAACACCACACCCAGAGTCCTGGTGTCTCAGCATAGGCAGCTAGAAGTCAGAATTCAGGGTATTGGCTCTTGGAGGTCTTTTCTTTCTGTGGGCTTTAGAGAACGTTCTTTGTCTCATTGCTCCTTCTGTTCCCTGGTTCCTTGATGAACCTTCATGTGACCTGATAACTATCTTGCCCCATCTCTGCTTTCTCCTATGTGTGTAATTGCCTCCTTTTATAGACTTAAAACATAACATAATCAAGAAAACCTTATTCCCAAATGGGATTATGTCCTCAAGTATTGGGATTAAGATTTACAATACATAATTTTTGAGGGAAACAATTCAATTTGTAACAACACGTTTTTATTATACTTCTCAATGAAACCAACAAATTAAGAATCTCCTCAGTTGGAACCCCAAGATAGGTGGTTCAAACTCACCAGCTGCTCCTGGGAAGTCCTATACAGGGTTGCTATAGGTTGGAATTGACTCAATGGCAATTAACAACAACAACATTTAAATTGCAATAAACATTATTTTGGTTTATCACATAATGTTTCACTGACAAATAGATAGCAATTAGATTTTTAAATTTACTTAACTATTGTGTAGAATCTACAAGTGAATAAGACGTATTTCCTAACTTTAAGAGGCTTTGCATCCCTTTCATAGGGATGATGAGACATATGCAACTCTTAAAAAATAATAAGCCACCCTGGTGGCTTAGCATGTTACATCTTGGACTTCTAATCACAAAGTCAGCTGTTGGAATCTGTGGGAGAAAGATGAAACTCTGCTCTCATTAAGATTTCAAAGACTTGGAAACCCT